TTGTTTTGTTTTCTTCCTACATTTAATTAATAATATATATATTGGTTTCCGTACGTAGTGTGCTAGCTTTGGTCATTAAACTTAGTAACTTTAAAAGTTAATTATACTGTGTATATATATATATATATATATATATAAAGTATTTCATTGCCCAACTCAATTGATGAGTTCTGGTATTGAATAAACAAAATTCTAGGGCGGTGACTAGTTGGAAACAAAAGATAGATCTAAAATGTTATGTTTACTCTTACCTATGACTTACTTCTATACCTGAATATCTTATAAAGGTATAATACATAAGAGATTTTTGAAATTAATATAAAGATTGGTCATAAAATTTTTAAAACTGAAATCTGTACTATCCCACAGTTGTGAAGAAAGTTCCAGCCATAGTAACATCTAGTGGGCAAAAAGTCAGTATCATGAGGAGATTAGGTCCTAAAATCACTGCTGCCTCTAGTACATCTACCAGACAAGAACAACCGAGTCTAATTCTGAAAAAGTCTTTATTAGCTGCGGGTGCAACTTCATCACATGGCATTTTGGGTAGGTTCTGTGAAAATGCTTGAACTAAATTGAGCACCATGAGTTTTTGAAGGTCTTAAAAACTGTTTTGTAAATAAGATGTTTTAAAGGGTAAACATAATGCAAAATGGTTGTTGTACTTAATGAATTAAAAATTTTCTGATTAGATATTTTGCATGTGAAAGCATTGTAATGTTTACTGATTATCTGCCAAATTTCATTAACATTTGCTTACTAATTTAAAAGTTATAGCATGAAAACTATAACAAGCACTAAATGGTTACGAGTTCAATTCCAGGGAACTTGTTAAAGAGCAATTCTTGTGCATTGGAGATTTTTCAAGAACTTGTTTCTAACCCATTTTACTGCTTTTGTAAGAGAACCCCTCGTATGGTTAAAAATTTTGGATTTCAAGCCTTCTTACAGAGATTGCTTTGAGAACAGTTAGGAAGAAATGTAAATAAAAGCTTAAACATATTTAATATCTAAGAGTGTTCAGATGAGACAGATTGACATGATGCAAAGAATTCCAAGGATAGAGACTTTTGAAAAAACAGTTCTTTAAATTGTATCCAAAGCAGTTTTGGATTTTCTTCTAGTTTCAGCACCAACATTACTTGCTATAAATGAGGTCAAAATTTACTGTTCAAACCAGCAGAACCACAAGTCAGTTATTCTGCTAATTCATCAGCTGCTTGTGTTTAGTAATTGATGTAAAATCAGTGCATGATAACAGTGACATCCACTGCTGATGATCTATTCTTTTAATTACTTCTCTTGTGCTTTAATATTACATATTCTAAGCTTGTTTTTACTTTGTCTAATAGAGGGCTAATATATTTGTATGTTTTCATTCCCATGAATAAGGGTCATTAATAGTTTAGAAAAAGTCTTAGAAAGCCATACAAACCTGATTCTATGGTTAATGTATGAAAATTGTTGACATACAGCAGTTTTACTGTTTTAATTATATATTCACAGATCTGTCAGTACTTGTATCTTTTCCTGTTGTATTCAGTTTCTGTACACTATCCTTCATTGCCTACTATACTTCTATATATATATATTTATTTATTTAACACAACCATTTGTTGTATTGAAACTTAGATTTATATTCAAATAACTATAAAATTGTTTTAGATAGTAACACTGTAAAAGGAGAAAGTATTCTCTTGAAGATACAAATTTTTTAATTCACAATGTGTAGTCACTCAAATTACAAACTTGGAGCTTAAGTTATCTGCTTGTAAACATACTCTTATTATTTAGCATTTTCCATTCTGACAATAACGTTTGCAGGTTGAAAGTTACTTGACATCTTGTTTCAAACCTTGCAAGACAATGATACCAGAAGTTTAGCAAATGCCTCAACTATGAATGTGTACCAGTCTAACCTAATATTAGGTTAATTTTTAACAGAGAAGATATTTCATGGTACAAAAAGTAGTATTAGAACAAGTAAAAACTTTTCAATATCTTGTTATGATGTGATTTTGTATTTTCCAAAATTAGTTGCACATTTTACAAATTCTTTGGTGTGCCTTATAAATTTTGATACTGAACTAATCAACTCATGGAACATTTTTTTACAAAGGTATTGTCTTGGGACAGTGTGAAATTTTAATTGAATAGAAACAAAAGTGCAATTACACTAACTATTGTCGCTGTCATTGTGTCTACAAAGCTGGCCATTAGTTTCCTTCAGAGTATTTTTTCATGTTTTCAGTTGGTACTGATGTTACACGATCAGCCAGCATCAAGAATCGCCTTGGTCAACAGAAAGCTTTCATGTCTGCACAACATCAACCTACAAGTGTTACTGTCCAGGCGGGTCAGTCATTCTTGAAATCCAAGAACACCAGAACACTTCTAGTAACAGCTGGTAACATTGTGGCCAAAGCTAAAGCTACAGCCACAGGAAGAATGGTAAAAAGTGCTGGGGAAGGAAACCGGACAGTCTTCCAGAGACTTGGTAACTAACAACTCAAAATATTTTTGTCAATTTATTTATAGAATATCATCTCAAAGAAAATTTTGTTTGTACAAAACTATTCCAGTAGTGATTTAGTAGAATAAAAGTGTGAAACCTTTATTCAAGTACAACTTTTCTTGGTCTTCAAATGTTTCAGGATACTACACAGCAAAATAATCTTTATGTAGTTTTTGTTACTGAGTGTAACAGAAGCCTCCTACAAAAATTTCTTTGTCTACTTTCTCCAGTTCTTTTTAAACACCCATCCATATTTCTCTGTGAATGTACCATCTTATCTGTTTTCTGAACATAATTGCATCTCACTCCAGTGAAAAGAAGTGTATATCTAAAGATTTGTATTATCATGATAGAAATCTTTCACTTTTTATATATGTATTACATGTGGGAACATAGACGAAAACATCAGGAGCAACTTTTAAATATAAAACTAAGATTTTGTAGATAATCAGAGAGTATGCTACTTAGCTATTAGGTTATATTAATGCCTTACTCACATTAACTAATACAGTGTTGTACATAAGTAGCCCCACATTATTAAAAAAAAAATGTATACTTCATGAAAACCACATCACTCAGGAAGTAACATGTACATTTAAAAATGTCTACCAAATATAATTTCCAATGTGTTTTTATATATATTGTATTCTTCCTCGGTGTCCTAGTTACACTTTTACAGCACAATACAGCTATTCTTCTGGCTTCACCTTTACATAATTTAATGAAAGGCAGATTTAGTGTATAAATCAAGAAAGCAGTTCAGATTCTTTTAAAAAAAATATGAAGACAGTTATGAACTAGATTTTTACTACATGTGAATTAATCTTAATACATACATCTCAAATTCAGTAGACAAAAACTCTAAAATCCATTGTCAATCCAGCTAATGGAATAACATTTCAGCAAAAGTGATTTCATTTTGTTTTTGTTGTTTTGGGAATAGTGATTTATTGTTATATACAAGTGAAGTATTAAATGTATAATCTACTGATGTTAAGAAGTTGACAGTCACACAACTTTATTTCAGGAAACTACAGGATTGAGCATTCCAGTAATTAACTTAAACAGGCACAATTTTATCACATTAAACTGTTTTACTCTAAACCTTCACAAAACCTAAATTACCTTCACTGTACACTACTAAACATCATAAAAGCAGAGCTCACCCTAGACACCTTAATGCTGCACTTCCTGGGACTTGCACTAGAACCAAAAATAACAGCTGTATATCATTATTTTTAAAAAAATTATCAACAAGAATTTCAACTGTTGTTAGGTTCACAGTCTGCAATGATCATTAAAGACATTTTCTCACACTAATTGTTCAAGTTTCATAAAAATAACTGGTAGTAAGATAAAGAGTTCAATACCAATACTTCACTTATAAGTATTCAATAGAAAATACAACTACATAAAACACCATAAAAAGCAACTTAATCAATATTTAATGTTTTTATAAAGAAACAAGAAATCATTTGTAACTGACAAACAAGACACCACAAAAGTAGCAATTATACCTGTGATTTCTTAAAATGTCCAACCTTTCTATCTTGATGATTTTATGTCTGTTAGCGTGTTCTCTACTCATTTTACATTTCAGATAAAACTGACAAGCAGAACTAAAAAACTAATTTCTTAAGCATATCCAGTTATAAAGGTTAGATGATACCAATAACTGTTTTCAACTACATATTTTCAAAATATCCAATACGTATAATATAAATGTACGGTCAAGGCTGTATGACGTTAATGACCATTTGCTACCATACATTTGTACAAGATCAACAGATGTCTGGATATGAGCACAATCAAAGCTAGACAATGTAAGTGACTGTGTTTACTGCTAGATAGATTATCAAAATAAAAAGTTCACACTCTTCATTATTCAAAATATCTACCTAAAGATGTTTATGATTAGCTTATTACACCTTGAACTGCCCCATAATCATCAAAAAAATAATAAATGGCAAGGTTCAGGTGAAACTAACAGTTTTAATAACATTGAATGAATGAAGAAACTGAGTTAAACCATTTATACTTTTTGTAAGAGGCATGAGAGAAATTGTCTTTTTATTTCACTAAAAGTAAAGTAATATTTGTTAACTTACTATTACTATTAACCTGCAACTAGAAAATTTTAAATTGAGTGATAACCTTATATTCAATGAATGCTGAAAGTCAAATACAATGTTAACATTTATAACTATAAGGATATCTCATCTTTGAACTATTATTGTACTTCCTTTCAATAAACTACACTAGCACGTCACCATGGAAAATGAAAACTTTACACTTCCTGATGAAAATGTGTATTAATATTTGATTTTTTTAACATTTTCTGTTCATGCAGATGAAATATTAAAATCTTTGCAATTGTTTTGCACTTTCCCATTGCACTCGTAGCCAGATTTTCTCATAATACTTGCACACAAAATTTAGCAATTAATTGCTCATATTTATTTTTGTTTTTGTTCTTTAGAGATAAGTATTCTTTAAATTAAATCACTAACATCTACAAATTTGATTGTTACTTTAAGTCACACTTCATATCAAACTGTTAATGCTTGAATTGTTAAATCTTACAATAATATAATTTTGGAAAACAAATATCTGTCTGTCAGAGTTGCACTTAACTAAGCCAATTTTTTCTCACAATCAATTCTACACGGATCTATCAAAGGTACAGTCACTTGATTGGGTTAAAAGAAGTTTGTTCCTGATAGTGCAAATATTAAAAAATGTTACTATCAAAGTCGTTTTGTAAATAACTTTTCAAACATGAATTTGATAGTTCTTAGTTTTAGAACTATAGCTTAAAATACCACATCTCTATGTATTTTGCCAAATTTTGACATGTCCTACAAGCAGAATAATATCATTTAGGAAAACACACATTTGTCTGTCAATTACCTAAGAATATAAAGAGAAAAAGAAATACACAAAAAATCAACTGATGCTTTTGGACCCACGTAAAGTTTGTTAATATTGCTGTTTCAAAATGGTGGCAAGTCACATGGAACAAAATATATTTACTATTACCCCTATCTTTCTGGGTTAACCATAATAACACTCATTATTTAATTGGCTCTATTTTAGATATACTTGGAATTCTATATAATTTTTGTTCATTAACTTTCAGATACTTGTGTATTCTCATAAATGCAACACGCTGAGCAATAATAGGCAGACTAACTAATTTCTTTAGATGATATTAACTCTCATTCAGAAATGCATTCAATGTATCCTTTAGCACATCATTCCATGCGTGTATTTTTCTTAAGTTTTCTAACAGCTAGTTAAGAAAAATAAAATAAAATACCACTGATCACAACAATTTGTCATTTGTGTATGATCTTTTCACCCATGATTGTTTTATTTCCAAAGCATAATGGATATGAACAATCAACTTGAACTATTACATACTTTATTTACCAAATACTAAAAACTTATCAAATTTCATGAGGACACTCTTATGACAAACGTTATAATATGTGAACTGTAGTAGTTAAAAGATTGGCCATTTTGATCAACCCTGTATTTAGAGGGTAAATAGAAAATTTGTACAACTACAAACATGGCTTGCACTTGCCTTCAGAAGCACTCTTTACACGCCACCATAGACAAAGAAAACAATGAGGTGTTGGGACCAGAATTTTCTGTTGACAATGAAGCACTTTTTGCTATAGTAAAGAGAATAAAGGAGTTAGAATTTATAATGCAGTCAATGAAGATGGAAAGTCAACTTAGTGGGTAGCACTGTTTAAATGTAAGGCCTACTAAGAGCAATTCTTATGGATGCATGTTAATTTCTCTGTGTCGTTAAAATTTAACAATAAACCTTTTTCTACTGCAAAATTTTTTTAGAAGCTAATTTTCAGAGTAACGTTTATGTTTTTTTTTATATTTTAAAGAAAATGCAATGCAATAAGTATGTTTGAATGTTGTATTTTTATTTGAGTTTCAGATAGGTCTGGTGTGTAATTTTCTAAAATTGTTTACAAATTCAATGTTTTGTTGAGTTCTGCAAAAACATGGATGATTAATTCAAACTTTTGGAGTAAGCAAACTTAATGGCCATATATGCAATTTTGTGTGGTTACAAATTAAGTGAAATACCACAACTCTATACATTGTCTTAATTTGACACATTCTGCTAATTATTGTCACTGAAAAAAAAATGGTATGCAACACAATAGTATTTTATTTTTGTCTTAAAATTGTTTACAAAGTGGTAAGAAATAACTAAACAAAACTGACCAATAGCTCAACTTTCAAATGATCTTGATTTAGACAAAATAAGCAAGCATTTATGTACTTCAAAACATTTGAAGTTTTTTCTTATAAGAATGAAAGTGTACATCATATATAGTGCTTACATAGTGCAATTTTAGTACAATAAGGAACAGGAATGCAAAATGCAAGAAAGAAAATTACAGCAAACAGTAAGTGGCAACTAAAGGAAACCACTTACAAATTATTTGGATGAGGAGTAGACCTGAATATTCTGGGGAATTAACTTGTGGCTACAATAAAAGAGGAAGTTTCAAGTTCATACGATACTAAAGGGTTCATGCAGACTTTAGAAAAGAAAATTTCATAAACCATATTCAAACTTCAAGGGCTTTTGAATCCTCCCACACAGGATTAAACTTGCACTTTTCTATTTTTGTTCATCAAAAACACTACAGTAGAAAATTCATGTCTCAGGTATAGCAAAGATTGAGATATACAATAGCTGACATGAATAATAAACAAACCTGATAACCAAACTTTTATAATTTTTTTAAAATTAAGCTAATTATTTCATGGGGAATTTTTTATTGAAAGTGAAATTAGCAATTTTTGGGATTTCCTGTACTGAAATTGTTAGAGCTCATTTTCCATGACCTTGAAGAATTTAAAAAGCCTGCCACTACTACAACAATGTCAACACATTTTAAGGGTAAATGAAAAGGAGAGAACTGCATTCAAGCCCATGCAGAACACATCCAACGTAACTGTTTGGCACAGTAGCTGCATTGTTTAGCACTAACTACACAAAACACATCTTAAAGTTATGCTGGAAATAAACCATTCAAGCTTAAAGCTGAGACAGAGCAACTATACAAGTACACACAAATTATGGAATCAGATCATTTATGCCGTATATAAAAAAAGGAAATTAAACATCAACTTTAATCAGAATTAAATCAAAGATTAAGATTCCTCAAAATTTCTAAGTATTATCAGAATAAGAATCTGTTGATTGATTCAGGAATTAACAATATATAAAAAACCAGACTAGTTTCAATCGGCCAAGCTATCATTCTCAAGGGACAGAATAAAACTCTTCTTAGCATCTTATAAGTTCAGGTTCAAAATGGTCCAGAAAAGTCATCATTCACCAACAGGTAATAAGGTGCAAAAATTATTCGAACAAAACTTCCAAATGGGGTTAATGTTCAAATCCCATTCCATTATTAAGCATGTTTTCTCTATTTTTAAATATCTCTTGATTTCATGTATTGCATTTATAGAAGAATTTTGGTTCAGCAATAATCTTTTGATTGATCTAATTTTATGGTTAGTTGTATATGAACAAGTAATGCTTTAGCCTATTTTTCAGCTTCCTTCCAATGACAATAGCCTTCATATATCTTTAATTGTTTGACCAATATAAGCACAATTACAAGAATAAGGAATGGTTTGTTTGTTTGTTTTGGAATTTCGCGCAAAGCTACACGAGGGCTATCTGCGCAATAAGGAATGGAATAACTATCCTGTTTGTAATGGGCTTCTATCTTATTCTTTCATTTCCTACATTTATTTGAAAGCACCTATTTTGTTAGTTACCAATGGATAATTGGGTATCTTTAGATAAGGGCCATCTCTTAATCTCTGTTCTCTCTCTCTGTAGCTAGGCTCATTCATTTTGACTGACTTTCTAACCCATGGAACTATACATAACTAATTTATTAATGTATCTTCATGAAATTTGACAAGCTTTTAGTAAATATTACAAGTCTGATTTTTAATAAAGTATTTTTTACCAAAGATTTCTATAGAAATTTATGAAGCTTTTAATAAGCCAGTCTAAGTGAAAAGTGATTTTCAAACTAAAAATGAAAATACTTCCTATCATCATAGAGTTTCCATATTTTATTTACATGATCTCCAGAACCTGTTAAATAAATATCAAAAGTTCTTTTTAGTAAAGCTTCATTTTTTGTTATTTCCTTTAACCTAACACTAGTGAAATCATCAATGTACTATGAAATGAAAAATTGATAAAATCAATATTACCTTTTTTTTTTCTAGAATGATTGTAGATTGTAACAAACAATTACAATTATCTATCCTAATGCCCCAGCTTTTTAACCTTTTCAAATTTGTTTTAATTGTTTTACTTCACAATGTCCTTTAGACCCTATCTAATTATGTGACAGGAAATTAACACAGTGTAAACAACCAATCAAGTTACAATTACATGGTGCAATTAGTTCAAGCTGGTCTCATAAATTTTTCCCCTTTTTGTTGTCTAACCTAACAAGTTCCTAATTTTATATTTCAATTTTTGTTCAAAAATATATAATAATAATAAATACAAATATACATATAAAACAAGAAACTGACTTTCATTAAAGCTGAAATATATTTCAGTAATTTATATTCAAAAGCACATGTCCTTCACACTAGTTTTTCAAACTATGTTGGTTCTTCACAAAATCACTTATGTTCCTTTCAAATATGTATTTTAGAATTAAAAAAATAATACAGTGTCCCAAGCCTACTATAATTTAATTGACTTTCTAGCTAAATGATAAATAGGTTACAAAATTCTGTTGGTTGCTTCCTTGCTCCTAGTAGGAAAATATGATCACAAACCATAAAACCTGAGTTAAATATCTAGAACCTCCTAAGTAAATATCAAAAGTTTTTCATGAAGTCTTTATGCTTTATCTCTTATTTTCTATACCCTAACAATAACTTACTGACATACATTGATACTGTTTAATTAAATTTTGAATGTCTGTCTCTAAAGACTGATGTGCAATTTAACCCTACCATATTCACAGCTATTTAGATGACTTTGTTATTTAAGTTTTTTGATTTTGTTGAAAAAAATATCATGAAGTTTGGTTTAAATGCTTAGGAAGCAGCAATATTTTTGAGGTAGTTCAATTCATCATGTCATTTTTGTCAGAACAAATGTTCAACATGCACCAAATACATGATTTTTACATACTGACCTGAGAATAAGGATGTCTAAATTTAGTGTGGGGAAATACACTTTCTGGTTTTTGATAGACTTCCTTGCATAGCTTGCCATAACTTTGTGCCACTAGTAATGTTAAAGTAGAGGTCTGACAACTTTTTTTACAATCCTAAGTAATCAACATATTCACTTATCAGTAAAAACTTAATATATTAAAAGAGTAACCTAGTTAGGAAATAAGCAAAAGCAAAAATACATTTTAGTTGTTAGATTACAACTACTTATACACAATCTAAAATAACATTTAAAAGAAAAAAAGGCCAAGTTAAATCATCCAAAATGTAATTTTCCATTTCATTGTGGTATCACAAGCTTGATGTATGTTTGATTTTGCTGATCTTGTACTTGGCCACTTTTTTCATATGTATTATGTTTTTATCCTGGTAACACATACCTGTGTGTTTTAAGTGAATGGCTATAATATGTATGCTTCAGTTTTTGTTTGAAATTTTGTGTGGGCTGTAGGCAAGTTGAAACATTTCTTTAATTAAATAAAGTTATCAACTTCTATCTTGAACACAACCTACGCATTTCCCTGCATTCAACCATTAGGCATCTAATGTACACATCTGTTAAAGCAAAGCACATCTGGTATGAGCTGTAAATAAGTTGAAAAACATACATGGTGAAGTGAGATTACGGAAATTTATTTTTGCACATTTTACTCTAGAAATAAAAAACCTGCAAGATGCATCATTGATAAGTACACAAGACTACATTAATTTATTATATAAATTATTATCTAATACTGGATGCCTCTCTCAAATGTTAAAAAAGTAGTTATCTGGAATGACAAAATGAAAAATGACTATATTAGCTAAGCCAAAAACACAATGAAAAGCTATTTTGTTTCACAGCTTGCCATATTACAATTAAACCAACTACTGTTGAGAAAGATGTAATTTACAGTGTAGAGTGTACGGACTGTAGTAATCTATATTAGGGGGGACTGGTAGGAATGTAAGTACTAGAATAACAGAACATGGACATGCTCCATCACATGTCAACCAACATTCTAAAGATAAAGAACTTTGTGGTGAAAATAAACTTATTAAAATTATTTGTCGAAAACCTAATATTAATAAATGTAAAATAAAAAAGCCATGTTAATAAAGGAATACAAACTTTTAATAAATAAAACAGAAGGAGTAGGTTTATACTTATGCTAAGCTCAAGATTATGTTTGTGACATCTTCAATTGGGTGCATTTAATTGTCGTGTACAATTGTGCTGAGTACCTGATGATGCTATGTTAACAGTGGTTAACCCTTTTTATATATATTTTTTCTATCCCATTTTACCTGCTTTCAAAATTACAATTTTTTCCATTCAATAATTAAATGGAAAAGCACATTCTCCTCTGTAGTTGTTAAAACTGCATCTCATTCTTTTGAAAAAGATGCTGAAATGTGGTCAGCAGAATAGAAAATATTCTTTAATCAATTACGGTCATAATTTCACATTAAAACCGATAAATAATTCATTCACTTTTTAACTTACTTGCAATTCCATTTAAAGCTTTTAAGTTTTAAAACATGCATTTCTGAAATGACAAATGTTTCTTTGGTATAACACACACACAAAGCCCAAGTATTAGTAATCTTATAAGTTAAGCATTTCTTCAATCGTCCTTAACTGAAGATACATTTTATTTTGATTTCAACTAGAAATCACCCATTTATTTTATATTACCTATTGTTCAACATACACATTCACATCCTCCAACATCTGAAGACTGCATCTTCATGTTCTGACACTGGAAGTTGTGGAAGAGAACTTGATCTTAATCATTGACGTTACACAATATGCCGTCAAGCTATGAAATTGAGATAAATTTTCAAAAATGTTACTTCAAGTGCTACTCTTATGATGACTTTAATTGACTGTTAAAAATTAATTTCTTTATAGAAATAATTAAATATTGATTGTTGCTATCTATACGTAGAATGTTTAAACAAAACATGGCATAAAATATAAACTTATTTTTGTTTTTACAAATTGGGTGAGATATTGTTATACAACATTTTCCTGAAACAACTTTTAAAAACTTGCTACCAAGTAAAACATGTTCCTTACATTAGTAACAAAACATCATGCACAATTACACGTATATATATAATGGAAGCAGAAAGTGTAACTTTTACAAAAATTCTTTTACCTCTCAATATCACATACATATTAATAATACACAAAAATCTTGAGACAAACAAGGGCCTTGTCCTCTGCTTATCATCTTTCATTTTTTCCTTGTGGTCAAATTATCTTTTAATTTCTTCATAACTTTGGATTTATATCAATTCATAATAAACAAGTATAATACAACTCAGCAACTGGAACAGTGAAATAACTAGTACTAATCAGTAATGTTTTTTAATTCTTCAAATTAGCAAATGTTGTGACCGAACTAAAAACATTTTTTTAATATATCCAAAAAACAATGACAATTAGTAAGCTGATACACTACCATAAATCTTGATTTAAATTTCTTGATAAACATCGCCTGGACCTGGAAGGAGAAAAAACCTTCAAAAGCAAAAGTTTGTATTGTTTCAAATGGTTACTCATTAAAACTTGAATGGCACTGTTAAACTGCATTAGTAGCATTAGAAAAAGAAAAAGTTAACTTGTCTGCATCCACATAACTTATTCTCCTCTTGAAATTTCTAAGATACTTAAGTAACTTATTGTTCTGCAAAGCTGCTCTGAGGAACACTTGTGCTACATTTATAACTATTGTTCAACTGTGTGATGTAACTATTTTTAAGTTCAATGTTCATATGTTCACAATTTGTGTTCCTAGGTGGAAAAGCCTTAAGTGGCAAATTTCAAACTTAAAAACAACAAAATTGCACTTTTTGCAATGTTTTGTAATTAAACCATAAATATTCTCACATCCATAATTTCTTTCACAAGAAAATTTTTAATTTTTGCTTAATGATCAAGAAAATATTTTAGCTAAATATAAATACTGTTGGATTAATTTAAGGCTTTCTAAAAATATTTCAAGTAATAGTTATAAACTTTGAATACTTGCAAAGACAGGTTTTATTCAATGCATTTTTTGATGGTGATGATAATGTGACAAAATATCACAATTAGACTCTTATCATCCAAACGTTTGTGGAGAGTATTTCACATTCAGTTAATTAGCAGTCGATTGAATAATAACTGTTTCTTTGCAAAGTACAAAATAAAATATTTTGTGTCTGTAACTTTAGTTTTGTTTTTTTCTGTAAAAGCACAATAATTCAAATAAAGGAGTGTATATATAATGCACTTAAAACCTGTGCATTAATTCCAAACACCTCTAAAAATTGAATCTGGACTACCAAATTAAACACAACATCACAAGCAGAGATATAAAATTAACAAACAACTTTGTGACTACTTAGCCAATAACAAATAATCATAGAAAAATAATGCTCACCTGTTGATTAACAAGAAAAAAAAGAAAGGCTAAATGTCATAATGATGTTAAACTGGTTACGTATATGAAAAAAAACTTTTCTCACAGCAAACCTGTTATGTTGGCAGAATGGTTACAAGATGGACAAAATTCCAAAGAAACACATTTGTTGGAGACATGCAAACACACACCAGAAGTCTGTTCTGAGTCCTCTCCACAAGCTTGATGTTTCTTTATTGTTGCACCATAATGTAATGGTGGTTTCACTAGCTTCTTCTTGACTTCTTCTGTCTTTGATTGTTTGGCTTTTGGTTCCTCACAACTATTGTCCAAACAACAGGATCTTTTCTTCTGCAGTGAACAGTTGAAATTTAAACCTGGTATATTTTTAATACCTTTAATAAGTGTTGAAATTTCTTCAATATTTGCTATAACACCTCTTAGATATGACACTTCATTAGTTAAATTAACAATTACTTCTTTCATTTCTTTAACATTTTGATTTAAATTGTTATTATTTTTTGTTAGGTTTTTCACTGAGTTCTCCAACTGTTCAATGTATTTCTTTTTTTTCTTCCGGTTTTCTCTTGCTGCTATGGCATTCTTGGACAAACAAGGTAAATCACTCAAGTCAGAAACCTTCGACTCAGATTGGCCATTTAAGTTACAGTTCTCAAAATTGAAGCTCGAGTTATCAGAATCATCACTCTTACTTGTATCATCTGCAAAACTATTAACACTATTCATAAACTTACCATTATATCCACTTCCTAGTGTTTTCAATATGTAATTTGGTTCTAAAGAGCATTTTTGCACAAAATTAATTTTATGTGCCAAGTTTGCTCCTACTTTAAATGCTACATTTTCAGATTTGTTACTAAAATTAAATCTATTAAATGAGCAAGAGCTGCTTATTTTAGAACTTTCTAGGTCTTCACCAATCAAAGTCGGGCCATAACAACCTTCAGATAATACTTCTGCAGTGCTAGACCTCACACATTTTTTTATATTATCATTACCAATTAGTTGCACACCAGGTCTAAAATTAGTTGTCATCTTTATCACTACTGGTTTTATAACACCTGAAACTGAATGATCCATTATATTACTCCACTCTGATATTTTTGACAAAGATTCTTTACCTGCTTCATCTCTAACACAACTCACTTCATGGGGAAATCTAGCACTAGATCTGTTTTTATTTTCAGTTCCACTGAGAGGGCATTTCATAGTTTTGTTCATTTTCTTGGTAAAATATTTTCCCTGACTTGGAGATGCAGTCATTCCTAAAGTACTTGATGCACTAGCATCAACTTCATTGTCATTGTTAATTTCATTAGTCACCAATTTATTTCCAACCAGATCATTGCTTTCATTACCTTTTTCAGCATTAATGCAAGGAATGTTACTGAAAGTAAAAATAGTAGTGCTAGGCTCAATATCTGAAGAAACCAAAGTTTCCTGTTCAGACAAGTTCACTACATTGGCATCACTTTCTTGAACTCTGACTAGGTCAGAAAGCTCAGGAAATAACTCAGTACTAGTAGAAGTTTCAGGAAAATACTCTTCTACTACTACATTGGCATCACTTTCTTGAACTCTGACTAGGTCAGAAAGCTCAGGAAATAACCCAGTACTAGTAGGAGTTTCAGGAAAATACTCTTCTACTAGTTCTAGAAAATCTGCTGCACTGCTGGGAGTCGTGGGATGGAGCATATTTAACAATACTTCAGAATTACCATTAAAGGTATTATGTTCTTCATCTTTGTTATCAATGTCACAGTCATGGTACACAGAAAAACACAAATCTTTTCTACTACCGCTCATATCAAAGCAAGTATTTGTGACATTCATTAAAATTTAAAGAACACTTAACGTTAAAGTTAGCATCTAATGTCTGATTACATTTTCTTCTACGCATATTTCTTCCATTCTGCTAAAATTTACTTTATCATTGTCACTTTTGTCAGTATCTTTAAATTAACGTTAGGCTGCACTAACTTCCCACCGAGTCTATTCAACTATAGTTAACGGTAAATTTCTGCGGTTAAATAATTAAAAAACATAATGATGATTTTAAATATATAATTTACATAACGTAAATGACTATAAAGTATAATTTCATATAGTATATTTTACCTTACTTTTTAAAAACAATAACATTAAAGAAAAACACACGTTAATCTACGTACATTCCCACTACCTGATCACATGAAAGAACTTGCATTGTCCAAAAATATTGTATTTCCCATGAGGCAACAGCACATTGAACGTTCTACTTGCGTTTGTTTCCCATAATGCAATATTATCTACGTAATTTTCACCTGACGATTACAAAACCTTATTGAAACATTTATTACAATGTTAAATTTGAAACAACGACAATGTCTTCTTCATTATCTATTCAAGCTGTCACCAAACTTTATTAGTATCTATTAGTCATCATAGCAGTCCCGGCGGCAGCTTTCGCACAGGAAAGGGGAAGAGGTAATTTTGGAAATGGTAACTGAAGTCAATTAACTCGTATCCACTACTATTAATATAACACGTTATTGTTAATTAATAAATCATATGACATTGTATTATTATGAAACATTCACACGAATGCAGTTTTATGGGGTTTTCTTTATCATTGGTATTATTATCAAGGCATTAAAAATACTTACGTCTGAATTATTTATTATTATGTTTAGTTTTAACTGCATTTAATGTAAGGTTTTTATATCAAGTTGGAATCTGAAACTGGGATGATAGACACAGGATCTAAACTGTTTGTTTGTTTGTAATTAAGCACAAAGCTACACAATGGGCTATCTGTGCTCTGCCCACCACGGGTATCCAAACACGGATCCTAGCGTTGTAAGTCCGCAGACATACCGCTGTGACACGTGGGGGGGGGGGGGGCATCTAAACTGAACGAGCAAGGACACTTATGTCGCAGGCCCTACAAGAGAGGCAATATTTAGGTGTAAGCAAATCAGCTGTGGGCCACTTTTCTGTGTACGGTAAAAAAAAGAAAAAGAATTGACTCACGATACAAAATACAAACAAAATATCACTTTATATATCACGAAAGAGAGCATTTGTAACAAAAAGCAGGATTTTCTATAACACTTCAATTTTTAACTCGTAACATGGAAAAGTGAATATTTCAAAGCTGCTGGTGATCATGTTAAATTTTATTTCAAATGATCTACATAATGCAAAAATTGCTTAAACATCTAGATTATTTCCGCAGTTAAATATTCAGTAATATATTGTTACGTCTCCGTTCGTTAGTTAATTTTCCGTAAATTCGTTCCGATGAAATTTTAGCGACACAAGTCCTTTCTTAAATAAAACTGATTTATTCTTTCTGAATATAACTTTGCGATACACTTAATTTCAACAGTCGCGCTATAACAAACGCTATAATTCTCAACGAACGTCTCACCACTACTGGTTTCCCGAAGCTGACTTATTGGTGGTATTTTTCTTACACTGGCTCCTCAAATATCCGTGCTTTCCACAGTTCCAACAACCTTTCTGGATACCAT